GAGGGTTTATAGGCTGTAAATAATTGGACAAGGAATTTAATTAGATATTGGTAAAAAAAAAAAAGTAGACTTTTTAAAGGTTACTCGAGTAACCTTTAAGGGTTTAATAAATATAGACTTACTCCCAGTTTCATTTTTTTGTTTTTTTGTTTTGGGCCGCACCCGGCAGTGCTCAGGACTTGCTCCTGGTTCTGCTCTGGGGAACTACTCCTGGCAGTGTTTTGGGGACCATATGTATGGTCCAGATAAAATCCAGTGTGTATAGCAAGCACCTTAACCACTGTACTTAACCCTGCCCCTTAGCTCCCTATTTTAAATCTTAATTTAAGACATTTGTCTGTGAACTTATGTTCATTTTATCTGAATTTATTGTCAATATTTACAAAGCCCTTCTGGGTTGTTTTTTTTTTTTAAGTGGGTAGTTTGGATCACTTCTGGTGGTGCTCAAGAGTTACTCCTGGCTCTGTGTGTAGGAGTGACCCCTAATGAAGCTCAAGGAACGGTATTAGGTGCTGGATGGGCATTTGAACCAGGGTCAGTAGGGTGCAAGGCAAATGCTTTAACATTTGTATCATCTCTCTGGCTCCTTAAGGCGTAGTGTTTACAAAATTGTAGTACTGGGGGGTGTAGCTGAGAGACATAGTATTTACTTCTATTAGGCCCAGGGTTGAACCCTGGTAGGAAAGAGAAAGAACAACCGTAAAACAGGTACAGAAGATTGAACCGATTTGGCCATTCTTTTTATTGTTTGTTTCTGGGACACACCTGCCCCTGTTTGGGGCTTACTCCTGGCTCTGTGTTCAGAATCACTCCTAGGAGGGCATGGGGACCATATGGGGTGCTGGCGGTTGAATCCTGGTTGACCACATGCAAGGCAAGCCCCTTACTAGCTGTGCTATCTTTTCACCCCTTGCCTCTGGCATTTACTTTTTTGGGCACTTGCAAATTTATAACTAAGAAAACAAAGCTTGTCAGGCCAGAGCATTAGTACTGTGGGTAGAGTTAGGGTGTTTGTTTGCCTTGCTTTTGGTAGACTCGGGTTTGGTCCCTGGCATCCCATATGGCCCCCCAAGCACTGCCAGGAATAATTACTAAGTGCAGAGCCAGAAATAACTCCTGAGCATCACTGGGTGTGACCCAAAAAGACAAAAAAAAAAAGGAAGAAAAGAAAACAAAGCTTGAAGTTCCTGGGGAATGCTACCTAGCCTGATCTTCTACTTTTGTAATTACATTTGTTGGGAAGTGTGACTTGTCTCTGCTGACATCTGTGTAATTCTCTAGGGACTTACCCTGGTATGGTAGCACCTTCAGTGTAGGCTTTTTTGAGGCATTTCTGAGGTGATGGTAGCAGACAAAATTTACCTTTGTGGTGAGGAGGGCTGGAGGAGTCACACCCCGCAGTGCTCAGGACTTACTCCTGGCTCTGCACTCAGGGATCACTTCTGGCTAGGCTCGGGTAACCTTATGGAATACCCAGGTTGGTTGCACACAGGGCAAGTGATGTCTCTCTGGCCCCAAGATGTACCTTCCATTGTTTTGTTTTGTTTTTTTATGAACTGAGAAATCAGTGACATGCCCAGGATTTGCTGATAGAAACGCCACTTCTAAAAATTTTTTTTTGTGTTGAATTTCAACATAGCCTTATGTCTACATTGATGGGACAGTTAAAATTGACTCTTTGGGATAAGGTTTATGCTAGGGAAATCAGAAAAAGAGGTGAACCAGAGAGTTGAGAGAGATGCTGAGGGAGCAAGAGTATGGATGAGGTGGTGGTAATATTTAATGGAAAAAGGGAACTGAGGAACATTAGCATTGATGAACAAAATTGTTCCTTTGTTGCATTCTGATTTTGTTAAGGAGGGGCCAGAAAAAATTGCAGTGGCCTAGTGTGTATGGGGGGGGGGGGGTAAGGGAGGGGCACTTGCCTTGCACACTGCTGACCCAGGTTGAGTCTCCAGCATCCTATCCCATATGGGCCCCTGAGCCAGCCAAAATTCCTGAGTGGAAGCCAGGAATAAGCCCTGTGCGTTGCCATGTGTGGCCCAAAAACAAATACTATAATTGAGAGAACACATTTTGATGAGGAGAGACTTCTTACACTTCAGGACTCAAGTGAGAAGTCATGTGGAAAAAAAGACACAAGGGCTTTGTAAATACTGATAATAAATTCAGATAAATTGAACATAAATTCACAGACAAACATCTTAAATTAACATTTAAAATAGGGAATTAAGACGCCTGTCTGGAGGCCTTAGGGGGCTACTCCCAGATTGGTACTCTTCATAGTGCTGGAGGGCCTGTGCATTGCCAGGGATCAAACCAGGTCAGCCGTATGCAGGGCAAGTACCTTCACTCCCATACAGTTCTCCGGGCCCTGTATGATGTTGTTTGTTTGGAGGGCAAGAGATTGAGCCATACCTGGTTGTGCTCAGGGATCATTCCTTGCAGAATTCAGGGTAAGAGTTGCAAGCACCTTATTCCCAGTGCTATCACTTTAGACCTCCTACACTGTAATGTTTTTTTGAGGATTCATACCTACTTGTGCTTAGAACTTCTGACTTTGCCCAGGAATCACTTCTTGTAGGGCTTGGGGACCATATATAGTGCCAGGGAATCAAACCAGGGCTGGCTGCTGCGTGCAAGGCAAGTGCCTTAGCTGCTTCCTGTACTATTTCTCTGCCCTTAGTGGTATTTTAAAAACTCATTTAAGAACAAAATGAACTTTGTTTCATTCAGAACAGTCTCCTTCACTGAAGAAGTTATTCATAGATTGCAGTATAGCTTGTGTGTAAAATGGGGACATCACCTTATTTATAGGACTCCTGTGAACATAACTCTGTTGCTGCATCAACGCTCTCAATAAATGCTACCATTTTAGCCCTGTTTATGAGTAGAGGTTACCTCCTGGATGGAAGCAAATATTCCTCCTACCTGAAAGACTGCCCAAACTGCCTATCACTCACATATTGAGATTTCCTTTGTCTTGCGAAGAATAAAACAACAAAATAATGCCTGTAGTTAACTTAGTTTTAGCTCTTTTCCTTTTGTTCTATAGTGTATTGACATAACACTTAAGTAAACTATCAAGGTTACATTTGATTTTTGACTTCTTACTCATGTCAGTTAACTGGGATAAAAATAACAGGATGTAGGATGATTATGAAAATGTTTACTTCTGTACAGAATTCTTCCCATTCTGCTTGCAGACCCCAGGTAGCCTTCCTTGTTTTTTTTTTCTGTTTTTTTTTTTTCTTCAGAATTCTTCGTGGGCTTGGAGATTTTTATTAGGAGTCAAGGCTTTGTTGGCTTGTATATGTAAACTGATCCAGGTTTATGATCTATCTTGTGAAATCTAGAAGCTTGATGTTATAGTTATGACACATTAGTTAGTCTCTATCCCTTCAAGTAGCATCAGAGCCTCCTGCTTTGCATCTGCCATTTTGTGGCTCAACTTCAGGTGGCTTATTGTGTTTCTGGTGGTTGCAGAGACAATATAGATTAAAGTCCTATTTAATTACAAGACTGTCCATCCCTATTAAACCTAAACTATCTAAATTTTTTAGAGCCTTTACAAAAATTGATTGGGCTAGAGCTATAGTACAATAGGTAGGGTGCTTGCCTTGTACTCTACCAGTCTGGGTTCAGTCTTCGGCAACGCATATGGTCCCGAGCCTGCAAGGAATAACCTATGAGCAACACTGGGTATGGCCCCCTCAAAAGTTTTTTGTTTGATAATTGGTTTGTATTTCACTCAATTAGAGATAGACTATAAAGCATTTGAAAACAGCAATATAAAATCTATGTCAGAGTGTCCTGCTGAAGTTTGAGAATGGGTTCCATGATACTTTTGATCAATCCTTGGTTTCTCATTAATATTCAGACTATTAAATCATTAGAGAGGCCAGAGAGATAGTACAGTGTTAGGTAAGGTGCTGCCTTGTACATGGCCAATCTAGGTTTGTTCCCCAGCACCTATATGGTCCCCAGAGCACCACTAGGATTGATCCAAGTGCAGAGGCAGAAGTAAAACCTAAGCACTGCCAGGTGTTAACTAAAGAACGAGCAAGAGAGAGAGATGGGGGTGGGGAGGCGAAAGGGAGATTTTATGGAGTTGGAAAATTCATATGTAAGAACAAATATACAAGAATGGCCAGTTAAACAGTGCAAAACGTACAAGGAGGGACCATGAAAATATACATGTCTATGAATTAAAATAGTATAATACTGGTTCATGAAGAGACAGTAAACTATGAGATAGGATAGAAAGCAGAAATTGAAGTCCGGATATACAGTACAGGATTTAAGGATTATGCTTTCCATGCAACCAACCCTAGTTCTATACCCAGCACAGCAGCATTGTTCCTTAGCACCACCAAGGGTGAGTGAATTCTGGGCACTACTGAGTGTGACCCAAAACAAAACAAAAAGTGTGTGTATGACAGGGTGGAAGTAGAGTGTTGAAGAGTTAGTCCAAAAGGCAATATCCTTACCTTGTATGCATCAGAACCCAGTTTGATCCCTGATATTGTATATGGTCCCAAGAGTACTGCTGGGTGTGACCCTCTCATCATCCCTCTCCCCCCCCCCCAAAAAAAAGGGGAACTAAATGGATCCAGGATTTCAATGGGAATGGCAGTTGGAAAGGGGAAATGAAGTTATACATGCTCTATGAGAAAGTTCCTTGCTGGGGGGTCAGAACAATAGTATAGCAGGTGGGGGCACTTGACTTATAGGCCAACTGAATTTGACCCTGACCATCTGGGATGGGAATCAAACATGGGTGGGCCGTGTGCAAGTTAAATGGCCTACCCGCTGTTCTGTCGCTGCAGCCCACAGTTCAGTATTTTAAAGATGATGCTTTTGCCCACATTAATTTGTAAATTTTATGTACTCCCTCAAAATGTCAATAAGCTTGTTTCTGTGAAGTGAATAAGTTGGTACTAAAGTTCACATAGAGAAGTAAACCTGAAAGAAATATTAATGGAAGTGCTTTTCTTTAGGATAACTGGGATGATGAAGAGGAGGAAAAAAAGGAGGAGGCCGAAGTAAAACCAGGTGAGCCATTAGGGCTACTCCTTATTTGGCTTCATGTCTTGGTGAGTAACTGGTGCTTATGTTGAGAATAAAATGCACACAGAATTGAACGTTTTGATATTTAGAATAATTTTTCCATTCCTACTTTATTCTTTTCTCCCTGCATTGTCTCTAGCCCATCAAAAAATAATCAGATTAGGGCTGGGAGGTGACTGAAAGGGCAAGATTGCTTGCTTGGGATGCAAAAGGCCCTGGGTTCAGTCCCTGGTACCACATAGCCTCCCAAGCACCACCAGGTATAACTTTGGTGGTCTCAGAACCATTGAGGAGTCTCCCTCCACAACACCAGAAATCCTGCTGCTTCCCCCAAAAAAAACCCTACAATTATCAGTAAGGTGGGAAGTTCAGATAACATGTGAGATATTATATGCTAATGTTAGGAGAAAGTAGAGGGTGGGGCCTCATAGTTGAATGATCTTAATCCTTCTAAAAGGAGTTTGACTAAATGAAGAAGAGAACTAATTGGATTGAGTTTCAGGGGTTCTAGATTAGAGAGGGTAATGGGAAAGTTACCTTCTTACTGGCCAGGAAATTACTCTATGAAATTGGGAACTGGGAGAGAGGTTTGTCTCTTGAAGTGTATATAAATATTATGTCTGTTTCATTGATAAATTAAAAAATATTCACTGTAACTTAAAACATTACTTTTAGAAGTAAAAATTTCAGAAAAGAAAAAAATAGCCGAGAAAATAAAAGAGAAAGAACGACAACAAAAGAAACGGCAAGAAGAAATTAAAAAGAGGGTAAGTACTATTTTCACTAGTGGTAACAGGCAGCAAATATTACCGAGCAGTTTGAGGACTCTGAATGGACACCACAAAAATAAGTGAATCCTCCATTTATTCAAATTTAATGCATAAACCACAGCTTTATATATTAGAGTGCCTTTTGATTTTTCACAAAATTGGAAAAGTTACAAAAGTACAATGATCACAGTCTATAATTTTTGTCAATGCCTTCAGTTTTTCTGGTTGTATCTGCCCCTTTTTGTATGTTGCATTCTGGATGATTTTCAAAATGTTACTGTTTCTATGCATATACTTTGTTCTTGGTTATTTGAAGCAAGATCAAGGATATTGGATTAGTCGAACTTTTTTTTAATAAATGCCTTTATCATTTCAAAATATCTTTACCATTTCAAAGCAATAATCAGAAAAACTCTAAATCTTCACCCATTTATCTTGTTTCTCTTCCTCTCAGAAAAACCATACTTTTTTTTTTCTGTTTTGCTTTTTTGGGTTACATCTGGTGATGCAGGGTTACTCCTGGCTCTGCACTCAGGAATTACCCCTGGCAGTGCTCATTAGACCATGTGGGATACTGGGAATCGAACCCGGGTTGGCCACATGCAAGGCAAACACCCTACCCACTGTGCTGTTGCTCCAACCCCTCAGAAATACTGTACTTCCTAAGTAAATACTGGTTTCCTTCCCTGTTCTTCTTTCTTTTTTAAAGTTTTTGGGCCACACCCAGTGGTGCTCAGGGCTTACTCCTAGGTCTATGCTCAGGTGGGTCATAGACCTAGATCACTCTTGTGGGTCATAGACCTAGATCACTCTTGGTGGGTTCAGGGGACCATATGAGATGTCAGGGATCAAACCCAAGTCAGCTGTGTGCAGGGCAAATGCCATACCCTTTAATACAGTCGTTTAAGCACCTAATATATTCTTCTTACAGTTTCTCCTTTTATAGATATATTTCTATATAAGATCATAGAGATCATTCCCTTTTTGAGGAAAATTTCAACCATATAAGTAGAGAAAATGACATAATGAGCAATGATGCACATTTCTTAAATCTTAACAAATGTCAGTATTTCCGCTGTTTGTTTTATCTGTTCTCATGATTTATAAAAAATATAACCAAGTAGATAAATATTATGCACTTAACCTTTAAACACCTAGAAGAAAGGAAATGTATTTTGGGGGCTGGAGAGCTAGTAGAGGGTCAGGGTGCTGCGACTGATCCCAGATTCCCCCAAGCACCCTCCAGTGTGGCCTAAGTCACTCTCCCGTCTAGTTTTCTCATATGATTTCCTACTTGGTTTTAAAAAAAAAGCAGTTCTTGAACTTCTAATACTCGGTGAATAACTGAGGGGAATGAGGAGAATAGGAGAGGGCTGGCCATTCCCAGCAATACTTAGGACAGCTTGGCAGCAATTCTGTGTTAGGGTCTAAACAGTAGTTCCAGGGAGCACCAGGGCCACACCCAGCTGACATCAGGTGGCATTTTATTTTCTTACAGCAATTTCCATTTTATTGTTTTATATTTGGCAATCTACTTCAACCATCCGCACCAGCAAAGTGTCAGTATCCCTCCACCACTGTTGCAAGGTTCTCTTCGATGTTTTATTAACTTTTCTTTTTGTTTAATTTTCCTTTTTTGCGTTTTGGTTATTTTGGAAATGGTTTGTACTAGGACAAAATAGAAAGCTTAGGTTTGTTATCAGTTTTCACAGTTTTCATAGAAGGAGATGCAGTCATTTTAAATGGTGAAATGAGGGATTTTTTCCCCTTATTTAAATAAATATGAACTTACAGAATTTTCTAAATTCATTGTTTTACTCAGACACAGTGCTTTGTGGGAAAGTGTCACTATTATTGTGGAGGCCGTTCCAGCTGTTTTGGGGCTACACTGAAGGCAGGAAGTCGGGTATGGGGGCTGGAGAGAGAGTACTGTGGTCAGGGCACTTTTTTTGTTTTTGGCCTGAGGGTTATATCCCCAGCACCCCATATGGTCCCCCAAGAACCACCAGGTGTAACTCAGAAAAGAATCAAATGATTCTTTGAGGAAAAATTTTGGATTTTTTGGTTTAGTTTGTGGGACCAGGGGCCATATTCTGGATCTCAGGGGCTTTTCCTGGCTCTAAGTTCAGGGGAGCATACGTGGAGCCTGGAATTGATCCAAGGTCACTGGCAAGCATCTTAATCCCTGTACTATCTCTCCAACCACCACCACCCCCCACACACACAGTGTACTTTTTATGTCTACGTAGTATTGTCGTATGGTTATAGCATACTTCAACGATTATCTTGTTGAACATTAGGTTATTTGAAATTATATATAATATTTCAGCGAATATCTTTGTTTAAATATTTATGTGCATAATTGTTGTATTACCAAGTTGTCCTACAGTCATGGTAGCAGTATCTGACAGTGCTGTTTTCACCTGTTGATAATCTCACTTTTTTTTTTTAATGGTTGTAGAATTGAACCCATTTTGGGAGAGAGGAGGAAAAAGTCAGCCCTGAGGGCCAAGGATGTGTTTTAGTAAAGTGCATGCCTCATATGCATGAGACCTAGGCTTGATCCCTTGCATTGTCAAAAAAAAATGACAGTAAAAAAAGTCTCTTGTCCGAAGGACCGACTGTGGTAACCATATATTACAATGGGCAGTTTACTTAACATCTCTGTCTCAGTTGTTTTTTGCCCTATAATGCTGGGATAAACATCTGAAATATTTTGAAGAATGCCTGAAGTAGTAATCATTTTATAGGTTTTGCTTATATGCGCTTAGAAAGAAAAACCTTAACAGTACAGACATCTGGATCCATCATAATCCCAGCCCTTTTAAAATCAATTTCTGTTTTGTTAGTTAGAAGAACCTGAAGAATCTAAAGTGCTAACACCAGAAGAACAATTAGCAGATAAACTGCGGCTAAAGAAATTACAAGAAGAGTCAGACCTTGAATTAGCAAAAGAAACCTTTGGTAAGTGGAGGATGATTGCAGTTACAATACTTAAATTGCAAGTGAAAGCTATGGAAATTTTTATTATGCAAGTTCCAAAACTTTTTTTTTATTTGAAGAAACATAATGTTAGAGGCAGTTTTTATCTTGATATTTTGAGATTTTATTACTCAGGTTGAGTGTGATACATGTTCAAAATTTTGAATGTTTTTGCATCAAAAGTATATTGCTGTTTCATATCTGCTGGATGAAATTTAGATAAAATTTTTTGTTGTTTTTTGGGTCATACCCGGCGATGTACAGGGGTTACTCCTGGCTTTGCAGTCAGGAATTACCCTTGGTGGTGCTCAGGGGACTATATGGGATGCTGGAAATCAAATCCGGGTCAACCGTGTGCAAGGCAAACACCCTACCCTCTGTGCTATTCTCCAGCCCCTGGATAAATTTGGATAAAATAGTTCTGTATTTCTGTAGCTTTGAGACTGAAATATTGGCCTGAAGGATGAACTTTTTTTTTTTTTTTTTTTTTTTTTTTTTTTTTTTTTTGCTTTTTGGGTTACACCCGGGCAATGCACAGGGGCTGCTCCTGGTGGTGCTGGGGGGACCATATGGGATGCTGGGAATCAAACCTGGGTCAACAGCATGCAAGGCAAATGCCCTACCTGCTGTGCTACCACTCTAGCCCCTATGGGATGAACCTTTGTCTTTAGTCAGATAAGACTCAGTAGAATACTGGTCTGTCCTGTGGAGGCATGCATTCTTCTGTGGCAGTGCATTCTTGTGGCCACTGTAATTTTTGTTATTCTTCTTTGCCTTCATCATGCTGTGTGTAAGAGAGCTTCCATTTCTGTGTGCCTTATCTATGACTCTGCTTAGTGTGTGATCTACATTCTGGATCTGTTAAATACTTAAATATCAGTGTTCTAGAGCGAGGGTCAATATCACATTAAAAGATAAACTAAGAGAATGGCTATGCTTAGGGTTTACCCATGGTTCTGCACTTAGGGATCACTCCTGGTTGGCTCTTGTTTGGTACCTGGGAGTGAACCTGGTCAGTTATGCACAGGAAAATTGCCTTATTTGCTGTTAAAGCTCCAGCCCCATCTTTGTGTCATCCCTCCATTTTTCAGCTTTGGGTCAAGACTGTGTGTTTTCAAAAGGTGGCAGCACTCTTATCTTTCTTGCCGCCTGCGTTTGGTGGTCTCGGGCCGCTTTCCCCGGGAGACTGCCTGCAATAGGTAGGCGAAGGAAGGAACGAGGGCCAGGCTGGTCGGTATCAATTGTAGTTTATTCCAATCTCCACTCCCCTTCTGCTTCTCTCTCGAGCCCGAGCCCCCTTCATTCTTCTTGCACCCCCCTCACACTCCTTCCAGCTTCTGGATCTGACTCTGCGCCTCCACTCTTACAGTCATATAGCAATCACATAGGTGGTGACACAAAGATGGGTTGAACATTAACAAATCAACAATGAGAAGTAAGACCACTCCTCCAGGAGATTAACTCAAGGATAAAAATCTCATGTAAAGAGATTACTCCAGATTACTAGGAGATCCGCTCAAATGCTCAAGGAGTACTCAAGGGTGGGATCCCAAAGAGGGTGTGGTTTTTTATTTTTTTCCCTTTTGGTTCATGCACAGCGATGCACAGGGGCTACTCCTGGCTCTGCACTCAGGAATTACTCCTGATGATGCTCAGGAAGCCATATGGGATGCTGGGAATCAAACCCTGGTTGGCCGCTTGCAAGGCAAACAGCCTATCCTCTGTGCTCGCTCCAGCCCCCACGTCTGTTCTTTCCTCAGTTAGTAATCCACTTAGATAGTTGTAGTAAATCTACTTCTAATATTTCTAGCAATGTCGTTTTGTATGAGCACAGTAAGAGATATAAACTTAGAATTTGGTTCTTCCTTAGGACAGCTCTCTCTATATTCCAGACTGCAGTCCTCAGGCCAGGTTAGTCTTCCTAACCCCAGCAGGGTCTGAGTCTTGTCATTACTTTTGGATCATGACAGCATTTGTCCATCATCATGCCCTCAGCTTATAGTTGAGTATCGTGGCGCTTTGGCCTGGCCCGTTAACTTTCTTCCTGTGTGCATACAGAAAGATACTGCTTTAAAGTAAACTATGTAAAAGACATAACTTACAAGTTCAGTGTCCTTAGAAGGATCTGATCTTACTAGCTAACAGAATCTGATTAGGGGGAAAAGGTGATTAACTGGTTGGGGAGAAGAGCACAGAGAAGAGTTTACAGATAAACACAGATAAATGGGAGTGACTGGAGCACTGTGATGGGTGTAACCCAATAAACCTTAAAGCTCCCTGTGGGAAGGGAGAAAGTACAAACCAATGTTATTCTGTAGGTCACACCCAGTGATGTTCAGGGATCACTCCTGGTGGGGCTTGGGGATGCTGGAGATCAAACCTGGTTTGGCTGTATGCAAGGCCAAGCATCTTATCCACCACCATACCATCTCTCCAATCCCACATCTTTGCTCTTTTAAGTGGATGAAGTAGACACTAGTGATCACTTTCCTTTACATTAATATATTATTTTTTATAAGACTTAATCTTCAGTGGGCTTTGAGCAATCAAGAGTTGCAGTGACTGGGGCCGGAGCGATAGGAGAGTGGGTAGGGCATTTGCCTTGCACAAGGTCGACCTGGGTTCTATCCCTGGCATCTCATATAGCCCCCCAAGCACCGCCAGGAGTAATTCTTGAATGCAGAGCCAGGATTAACCCCTGAGCATCGCTGGGTGTGACCCCCCCCCAAAAAAAAATAAATGATTTTAAAAAGAAGAAAAAGAGTTGCAATGACTACCTTGTATATTGCTGTCTGCTTATTTTGCCTCAACTGTCCTCATCTGATTGCACATGACACTCTGCTATTCTTCTGTGTCTCCATAGGGTGTTATAAGCTGCAGATGTTTATTCAAGACGGGGTAAATAGGATACCCATAAAATCTTAAGTGCTTTAGATTGAGACAAGTCATTTGAATAATTTATATTGTTAATGGGCTGGAGCGATAGCACAGCGGTAGGGCGTTTGCCCTGCACGCAGCCAACATGGCTGACCTGAGTTCGATTCCTCCGCCCTTCTCGGAGAGCCGGGCAAGCTACCGAGAGTATCTCGCCCACACGGCAGAGCCTGGCAAGCCACCCGTGACGTATTTGATATGCCAGACTTAGTAACAACAAAGTCTCCAATGGAGATGTTACTGGGCCCGCTCGAGCAAAATCGATGAACAACGGGAGGGAAAAAAAAATGGGCTGGAGCCATAGCACAGCGGGTAGGGCGTTTGCCTTGCACGCAGCCAACATGGCCCATCCGAGTTCGATTCCTCCGCCCCTCTCAGAGAGCCCAGCAAGCTACTGAGAGTATTTCGCCCGCATGGCAAAGCCTGGCAAGCTACCCGTGACGTATTCAATATGCCAAACACAGTAACAAGTCTCACTATGTTACTGGGCCTGCTCGAGCAAACGGATGAACAACAGGACAGTGATATAGTGATATTGTTAATAACTAATTCATCTGAAACTAGGAGGATCTGGAGTAGTTTAGGTTCCTGGCCAGATGCGGTTTTCTATTGGGATTTAAGACATGTTTCAGTTTCAGTTTTCTTTAGCTTCAGGAATAAGCAGAATGCTTTACACAAACTGTTTTGGTTTAGGGTTTTTCCTCATTTCTCATTAAACTGCAGTTTTTTCTTGAGCAAATCATTTTGTAGGATAGTCTTCACTCCTTTGGCATTCGGGTGGGCCACTTCTCTCAACATCTTAGTTTATTAAATTAATTTGACCTAATGGCCACTTCTCTCAACATATTAGTTTAAATTAATTTATTAAATTAATTTGACCTAATGTGGCGAGAAAGGGACCCTCCTTCACTGCTGGTGGGAATGCCGACTGGTTCAGCCCTTTTGGAAAACAGTATGGATGATTCTCAAAAAATTAGAAATTGAGCCCCCATTTGACCCAGCAATACCACTTCTGAGAATATATCCCAGAGAGGCAAAAAAGTATAGTCGAAGTAACATCTGCACTTGTTTGTTCATTGCAGCACTCTTTACAATAGCCAGAATCTGGAAAAAACCTGAGTGTCCCAGAACAGATGACTGGTTAAAGAAAGTTTGGTACATCTACACAATGGAGTACTATGTAGCTGTTAGAAAAGATGAAGTCATGAAATTTACATACAAGTGGTACTACATGGAAAGTATCATGTTAAATGAAATGAGTCAGAAAGAGAGGGACAGACATAGAAAGATTGCATTCATCTGGGGAACATAAAGTAACAGAATAGGAGACTAACACCCAAGAGTGGACGAGATTAGTACCAGGAGGTTTGCTCCATGGCTTGGAGGCCAGCCACACATGCTAGGGGAGAAGAGAGCACCAAATAAAGAGTGTTGGGAGGATCCTCTCAGGATGGGAGAAGCATGCTGAAAGTAGACTATAGACCAAACATGATTGCCACTCAATGCCTCTTTTGCAAACCACAACACCCAAAAGGAGAGAGAGAACAAAAGGGAATGCCCTGCCACAGAGGCAGAATGGGATGGTGGGGGTTGGGGGGTGGGAAGGATACTGGGACCCGTGGTGGTGGAAAAAGGGCACTGGTGGAGGGATGGGTATTTGATCATTGTATAATTGAAATCCAACTGTATCTCATGATGTCTCACTAATAAAAATTTTTTAAAAAATATTAATTTGACCTAAAAGGAAAAGCTGTTATCAGAAATGATATAAAATATTTAGTAATCAGGACTGTGTGTGTGTGTGTGTGTGTGTGTGTGTGTGTGTGTGTGTGTGTGGAACGAGGGATCAAACTGAAGTTTTCATATATGAAGAACAAACTGTACCCCTGATTTTAGGTGCTTCGTGGATTCGTAAATATCTAACAAGCATAAGAAAATGAAAATTGATTTTAATCTTTTGGGAGAATAATAATAGCATTTATGGGGAGTACTTCAGTATTTACAGCAATAGTAATCTGATATAAAAGTGTCATTGGTAACAGGTTTTGCTAATACTTAACTGATACTAGATTAAAGGTTAAAAAATAAAATGGAAATGTATTTTTCTCATCAAATTCACTTCCCCCCAAATTCTAAGGGCTTCAGAGAACCTAGATTAAGAAATACTTCTTTGAAATGAAATAGGGATATTCAGTAGCGTATTCATTAATAAACTTGAAATCTTTCTGATCTTCTCAGTGCTCTCTCTCTCCTACAGGTGTTAATAATACAGTCTATGGAATAGATGCTATGAATCCATCTTCAAGAGATGACTTCACAGAGTTTGGAAAGTTACTAAAGGATAAAATTACACAATATGAAAAGTCACTATATTATGCCAGTTTTTTGGAAGCCTTAGTTCGAGATGTGTGCATTTCATGTAAGTAATTATAATCTCAGCCCTTAGGGGTTATTCAGGAGGATGGTGTTTAGTAATCTTTTGGATGCTCTTATATAGGTGCAGGAGTCTGTTTTCTTATTTTTGTATATAAACTTTTATTAAATATAAGCAGGTTTGTAAATAGAAAATGAGTGGTTTTACTTTTTTGGGCCACTCATGGCTGTGCTCCAGAATGTGCAAGGCAGGTGCCCTACCCTGTCTGACCTCTAAGCAATCTTGCTTTTGCGGCTACATTCTGTTTTTCTTATGACTTCCAGAAGCTACATCTAGGCTTGCTGGCATAGCAACTAGAGAAAATACTGGATAATTTTATCTTTAAAGGGAATAGGAAGTGCCTTAGGGAAAAGGATGCCTGGGTGTACTGGATCTTAGAGGTGAATGAGATTTACAGCACATGTCTATGTACAAAAGGAAACCTGACTGGGTGCAAACCAGTCAGTAGAGCTGGCTCCCTGGGTGTGGTATCCTGCCCTAAAAGGAACAGGGTGTGTGGAAGTGATGGCTAAGGGTGGTACAGCAGTAATGTGGAAGGAACTGGTTTTGCTAGTATTTGCTGTTTTTAAGATTGAGAAGAGAATTTTTGGGGTCTTGAGAAATTACTAAATTGGGATTCTGAATTTGTGATTTTATCCATAGTTGGTAGTTTATCCATGTACTATGTTTATTGTGTATGTATTCTGTCCAAACAGAACTTTAATACAACATTTAGAGGTTCTTTTGGGGCCACACCCGCATGTGCTTTTTGGGACCGTATGGGATGCCAAGTGTATGCAAGACAAGCGTCTTACCTGCAGAGCTATCTCTCTAGTCCTAAACTTGATACTGTTGTTTACAGCCATATCCTAAGTTGCTTAGGAGTGTCCCCCACTGGGGGTTTCTTAAGATTCCTATTTGAAGAGTTTTACCTTGTAGGTTTAAGCGTTTATTATTACTAAATGTTTATCCAGCAGTTTCTCACTGAGCAACAAGAATGTCTTATGGGTGGGGCATAGCTGTCTTTCTCTTGGTTATACTTGAGTAAGGAAGGATGGTAGGCAGAATTGTGGTCCACTTTCTCTTTGCACAATTATATTTTTGTGGTTACAGGTCATTTTTTTTTTTTTTTTTTTTTTTATATAATTTATTTATTTATTGAATCACTGTGGGAAAAGTTACAGAGCTTTCGGGTTTAGGTCTCAGTCATGTAGATACCGAACACATTTCCCTTTACCAATACTCATTTTTAACCCCGAACCCCAATAGACCCCCACCTCCCACCCCTCCCAATTCTTGTGAGGCAGATGAGTTCTAGTTAATACTCTATCTACTTTGACTAGATAGATTATTTCGATAGAAGATGCACAACTATTGTTTAGAGCTTACGACCCACCCCCCCCCCCCAATCAGACATGCTGAAACAGCGTTGTGAAATGATTTGCTTTCTACAACTTGGTTTAAGAATAAAATGAGGTCGCGCGGCCGCAATAGCGGCCGCGCGGTTTTGAATTTCTGCTATTTTACTTATTGACCCTGGAAGAATTTCTATTAAAAGTTAGCTAGTTAAGAGATTGGTTTCTGTGCCCTGGAGTCGTGGCCGTGCCGGAGAGCCGCTCGTGGGGGGCAGCTGGCGACCTTGGTGGGGCGTGGGGGACGGCCCACAAAGCCCCCCTTCCCATGAGGTCCCCGCCGCTCCCCCGAGCCCGGCTCAAACCCGCTTTCCACAAGGCTCCCGTGTGGCCGCCATCTTTCTTTCCAGAGAGGAGCAGGCGGGCTGGTCAACGCCCTTCCCCCTCCGGGCAGGCTTGGTGGCGCGGATCAACACAAGTCCATTTGCTTTTCTGCTCCAAGCGGCTGGTTCTCTGTGCTAAGTCCTTGTGCCTCCGGGGCCGTGGCCGTGCCGGAGAGCCGCTCGTGGGGGGCAGCTGGCGACCTTGGTGGGGCGTGGGGGACGGCCTACAGGTCATTTTAAGGCTAGATTTTTGTCAGTGTGTTTCCCACTTTAATGATTATTTTACTATGTTAAACAGGAAACACTAATTTCAATGTTAATAGACAAACTAGATTTCTCTTAACACTTTATGTAATAATTTACAATTTCCTTTGTCATTCTCCCAAAATGTTTATAAAAATAAGTGGTTTGCTCTTTTTTTTTTTTAATAGTGGAAATTGATGACTTGAAAAAGATTACCAATTCATTGACTGTACTTTGCAGTGAAAAACAGAAGCAAGAAAAGGTAAGATCAGACTATGGGAGAAATGTTATGACATCAGGGTGTGGGCATGAATGTTCTGAACAATTCTAGTAAGAATCTAGAATTCAAGTAGTTCACCTATACCACTTACAATGGAATAGACAAAGAGCATGAGTATCATTACTATGCTTTTTGGTTAAGACATACCCATCATCTTCTTTACTGAATTAATAGAAAGTGCTTTGAATTGCAGCCTGGGCTTTATCCTTACCCTTAGAAAGTTTTTAGGACCAGAGGCTTTGCTGTCTCTTTGGGGATTGCTGTACCAGATAAGATGACTACTTACTGTGGATGGTCTCACGAATGAAATCTTTCACCTTTAGCAAAGCAAAGCCAAAAAGAAGAAGAAAGGTGTCGTGCCTGGAGGAGGACTAAAGGCCACCATGAAAGACGATCTGGCAGATTATGGTGGTTATGATGGAGGATATGTACAAGATTATGAAGACTTCATGTGACATTTTATCTTCTTCTGGTGTCTTCTTTCTGTTGCCCACAATCCCTTCAACATGTAGCACAACTTCCTTTCCTTTCAGTTCTGCCAAATGCTACAATCAGAAGTGCAGTATCTTTTGTGCTGGTTATTTAACCCCTTGACAACACTTAGGTGCTAATGTGCATATGAGGGAACTTGGATCTTGCTGCCAAGGGGTTAAAATTGGGAGCCTCGGTTGCTACAAAATCATAGTTTAAAAAAAAAAACAACCTAATAATGTTGTCATTGTTGCTATTGGATCCCATAGCAGCAGTCGCTAAATTGGAAACAAAAGGTTGCAAGTGGGAGAAAAAAAAACAACTTGTGTAGTATTTACCAGCACCATTCAGTAATACAGCCTTAACCATACCTCCTTGAACTACTTCATAACTTGTCAAGAAAAGCAGTTTGCAGCAAGGGCATGTGGTGTGCACCTAGTATTAAAATTGCTTTGTCTTAAAATTGAGTGTGAGGATATTAAAAATACATTGTGAAGAAGACTATCAGTGAAGATACAGCGCTGAAAAGCACTAGTTTGATACTTATTAAATGACCAAAACCCTCCGACTTTGAAGCAGAAGAAGGTAAACCTCTCCATTACTGCGTTATAAATTGTTGGGATTTCTTGATTGCATAGACTCTAGATTATCAGACAATACAGATGGCAGAGAGAAACTCTTACCTTTATTTGCCTCATTTAAGTGTCTAAGAAACAAATTTCCTTTGTTCTCCTAGGCTGCAATGAAACAACTTTAACAGGGTTTTGGCATTTTCTTTCCTTTATAAAACATGCTCAGCAAACTGCACAGGTTAACTACAGTTTGACAAATTGTTATGTTAACAATTATGACATCTGCAATGTTTTATAAAGCAACTAATTTAATAAAATCACTATTGTGAGGACAAAAGTTTTGTTTTAACTCCCAAGAGATATTTTTGGAAAACGTAGACTACCGCTCTTGGGACTAGAGTTCTCTATAGACTTAACAAAGCTTAATAAATGCTGATCAGTAGTTAAACAGCTTTAAAACAAAAGAGTACCAGGTCCTTAATAATGTTATCATATGTAAGGTATAGGACTGCCTTCCTCTTATTTATGTGGGGGAGATTATTGGTTTGTCAGATTCTAAGGCCTAATTAAGTACCTAGAAAAAACTATTTATTTGGAGTAATAACTTATAACTCAGGTTGTGGCTGTAAGCATAGATTGGGTGGTCTTTAGATTTCAAGTAAATTAACCAAATTTGTGGTTTAAATATTTTTTAAACTATTATGAACAAAAATAGTTTTTAATTTCTCTTAGGAAATAGGCGCCTCAATTAAAGCTTTGTAGACCACTGAGTGGAAGAGAGGGGCCATCTTAAGTGACAAGGAAATAACAGCAGTGACTAAACAGCAATAAGTATAGCAAAAATAGAGATTGTTTTAAGACAGACAAGGGCTAAGATTTCCTTAGCAGTAATAATGACACTGAATTTCAAATCTATTTTATTATAGAGATCAGTTTCTAACAAATGAAGAAATGTATCATCTGTTCCTTAACTGTGTAAATACTATTAAATTCCTTTGAAACTGGAATCTGCAGGCACAGGTATTCTTTAATCAATACTGTACAATCTCTTAAAGTAGAAGCAAGCCATCCTGAGGGAGATGGGAGTTTTTTTTTTTTAATAACCATGGCTTATGTTAAATGGTGTAAATGAAAAATTAAGGATTCCTTGTGAAAATTTGTTCGATTTTTTACTACAGTTCACAAGGGACTGGTATGGTCAGATCAGGGATTTTATAAGTCAGAGAGACAAATCTTCCCCAACCCATTCTGACCATGGAATCATTTGTCTGTTTTCTTACACTCCTTTCAGTGTAAGAAAACAGACAAAAAATCTGGGCAATCACCGCCCTCATAGCCATCTAACCTGCTAGCATGTCCTTTAGGTAGTACCCTGTCTGAGGGTCCTTCAGAAGCATATTTACAATGTCATAAAATTTGTTTTCACATGCCAACTTGTAATACAAATTGACATCTTCACAGTATGTGAGTAACTTCTTCAGGTTTTTCATAACTGTGTCAGAGGTGGCAGGCTGATGTTTATATCTAGGCATAAACATACAAATGTATATAGGTTAAGAACTATATTCAGCACAAGCTCTCAGTTCTGACACATCACTATCTACAGAGAAGAAGGTATGTGGAAATTATCTCAGACAGTATTAGGGGTGCTTAATAAACCCAGAGGATAATTAAATATACTTACTCCCTTAGGGGCCAAAGAGTTTAAAGGGCTAGAGCACATAACGTGGCATACACAAGGCCTAGTTCAATCCCTGTACTGGTCTCCCGAGCATTGCAAATGTGACCCCTAGATTTGCTGGGCCCAAGCATTATTAACCATCTGGCCTTCATAGCCAAGACTGAGTATCACTGGGTGTAGCCTACTCTTGAGTGGTAGTGCTCACCCTAATTTAGAGTTACTTTTGTACTTCAAAGGGACCTGTTTGAGTGTATCTCTCCCCCAGGCAAACTTTAAGGCAAATCTTTAAGATGAGAACATCATAAGCAAATTGTTCATCTGCCTGAATTGTGAACTGTCTTCCTTTTAAGGATTCTTGAAAACCCCTTGCCGCAAGCATGTCACACTTAACCATAGAATTCTTATCCCTGCCTTACCTCAAAATAGAGGCACTGTAATACTTACTTCTTTGAAATTTCTTCAAATATGTTGGAGCTTAATAACCGTTGCTGCTTAAATTCTTCTAAATAATTGAAGTCTCCTTTAAGAATCACTTGTTGGTATAGAATTTCAGCCCAATCAGGAATGAAGTCATATGCATCAGCCACAATAGAAGCCTAAAATGGAGGGAAAGTTACCTTAGCACCCATTTAATGAAGAATTGAAGGCAAATTCTAGAAAACTTAAGGCTACATTCTTATGACCATGAATACTACAATGTTAAAAGGCTCTTAAAGTAATACAGTTGGTGAAAATATTGTTCTGACATTTCTCCTCCTTTAAATCTGACTCCTTTGTTTTCTTATGTCCCTCTTTATTGGTTTTATTGTTTTGTTTTGCTTCTGGGGCATACCTGGCAGTGTTCAGGCCTTACTTGTGGTGTTTGGGATGCCAGGGATCAGACCCAGATTGGCCCCAAGCAAGGCAAGTGCCCTACCCTCTGTACTTTTGCCCTTCCAAACTTATTAAACTGCTGAGAAGCCATACTTCTCTAATTCATCTGTGTAAGGTCAATGAAAAGGCCAGCTCACTTCTTACTAGAGGGCTAGAGTCAGTCTGCCGGTAGCTTTTGTTTCACTTGAAACACTAGCTCCAAGATACCTCTGCTGGCCTAACAATATGGGGAAATGAGGTGGCACTGTTGGACCAGCCTCCAGCCTCAGCCTGAACAGTAATGTTGACAAAAATTGCTTCTAAGACCAGCTGCTCCTGAGCACTCAGGTCCTGAGCTGTGTCAGTAGCTCTGGATCCCTGGTTAAGAAGGGAGTCCCATGAAAGCTGCAGCAGCAGGAATAGTGCACAGTGCCGATGCCAGCTAGTCTTGCCTCCTCTCTCACCTGATAGAACCGTGGAAGGGTCATGATACATTCTGTCAGTCTGTGGCGGCCCAGGTTGATGAGCATTGTGTTCTGGCCAGTGTTCAAAAAGTGAATTTGCAGTGTTATTAGCTTGGTAAGCCGGTGACAGTGCAAAGCCTGTCGCACACAAGAGTCCTGAGGAACAAGGGTGAAAGACGACACACAAATAGTTGGTTAACATCACCTCTCCTTAGTGAGCTTTCTAGCACTTGAATTTACCACCCCTCCTGCCCTTGGTCACCCTGTTCTCACCCCCCAAAACCACCTCACCTAGGAACAAAACGCAATGGGTCTTCCTACAGATACCCAACCCAAGGCCAGGGAGGAACAGGACTCTGGTTACCTTGGCATAACTCTCTGCTGCATCCAGCATCAGAGTCAGAGCCTTCAGCAGCAGCTGCTTCAGTTGGGGACCATCTTTGAGGCTGTCCTCTGCAATGGAGAAATGGGGATTTTCTGGGTATGTCTGACTCCCAATCACCTTACCATGATCACATGCTGGGCCACAGTGCACAGTAACTTCACTGGACTTGCAGTGTCTATTCTGTGACACATGTCTGCCATAGGCTTGCAAGTATCAGCTCCACACTGATTGCCAAGAGCCACACAGGCTACAAGAGAGCAGATAGCTCCCAAGTCACCCACCCCATTCCATCTCTTAGCTACTTAGCTGGGGTCCCAATGAAGGCTGGCAGAAGCTGAGGAGGGGATTAGTCAGTATCCCTTGGAGGATACTCTGGCACCTCCACTTACCCCAGGGTTGAGACTCGATCAGTTTCAGTTGGATGCGGGCAGCTGCCTCATGGTTCTCCCCTATCTCCCGACACATGCTGAAGCACAGGGCGATCATATTGTGCTTCTCGCTGTCCCCAGGGCGGCAGCGTTTGATGTAGTCAAGCAGAGCTGTCTTCAGGGTACCACTCTGCAGTGGAATAAAGGAAAAACACGGTCTCAACCAGCCAGGCAGGGCAGAACTGTGAGTCCTCTGGTTCTGAAAGTTCCTTAAAATCTTTCCCATAACATGCTTCATATGTGTTTGGGTCTGGGTTCAATTCTGGTTATCACTAAAAGAATAACTTCATAAAAATTTATACTATTCTTAGTGTAAGGAAATGGGCCATCCTGTTGGGTGTTAAGTGAGGGTAAAGCCTGGTTGGTAGGAAAGGAGAAAACTTTAAAGTGTGCACTTAAGAATGTTAGTCTTAACAATTTTACTTTCGGGGAGTAAAAAGTGCTAAGGTGGCGATAACTTTTTTTAATAGCAAACAATTAGAAATAATCCAAATATAAGTAAGGGTTAAGAGAATATAGATGCTGACTTGGGAAACAGCCCTGACACACATGCTATTATGAGAAAAGCAGGCTATTTTGTATCCACACGGCATGATATGAACTTTGTGTTTAAAAAATGTGGTGTGTTTGTAAGTGGGCAAAAGAAAGGGCTGCTTTACAATGTAGAGAGACACAGAGCTTTTGTGTGTAAGTTTTTCAAGTGTCTTATTAACATTGAATACACATTACTTGAAGTAATACACATTACTCATAGGCCGCCCACCTATGAGATCATCAGACTTCTTCGTCAAGACCCTGAACGATCGGTTTGAGGCTCTTCGGGTTCGTAGAATGAGCATATGCCATTGGGCTACATTAGCACACAGCAGGGATGAATGGAGATGTTGCTGGCACCCACTCAAGCAAATCAATGAGTAAAGGGATGTCAAGTGATCAAGTGACACATTACTTTTGTAATAAGAGAAAAACACTAAAAGAATATGTAAATACAGAAAGAAAACTGCCTCTACAACAACTAAAAAGAAATGCTTTTGGGGGGGTGGGGGGTGGACCAGGAGAGCTCCTACAGGGTTTTAAGTATTTGCCTTGCATGCAGTTGCCCTATTTAATTCCCAGCATCAGAGAGTATAACCCTGAAACAAAACTTGCTTGGGACATCCTACAGATAGATATCAAATAACCCTAGCCCACAATTTACTTTTCTGCTTTCTTCTGGCTTGGTTGATTTCAGTTTTTAATTCTGAATTCAGAGGTGGAATGAGCTGAGGCCAGGAATCCACCAAATGAATAGCTTTGAAATAGACTCTGAATCAGCCTGCTTGCATAGGTGCTAAAGACAGACAAAGAGGCCCCCAAGACCTAGAATGTCAGGCCTCTGTTTCCAAGCCACCTTCCTGCTCCTCATAAATGGACTCCCCCACCCCATATTTCTGGAAATAGTCTTGGCATTCACTTCTAATACCTCTAGGCAACATGCTTATCCATGTTTTCCTATAAACACTACTTCAAAAGCCCTCAGATTTCTAG